CAAACCAGTCAGCGGTGGGGCCCACAAAGACTTCCCGCTCATGGGGTCCAAGTTGGCATGCCAAGTTGTCAAAAAAGTCTGAGGTGGCGCTGACATGTGCATACTTGACGGAGGCCAACGGTGCACGTGCTACACGTGACGATCCAGCGTTAAATTTTTCCTCATTTCCTCAAACTCGAAAATATTAAGGGTAAAAATCCATGTATTGTAACATGGAGGGTAAAAACCCTCAAAATCGAAAAGTTAAGGGGCAAACGGGTACCTTTTTCCTGAAGGAAGTCGACATTTGGCCACAAAAAAAAAAAGGGTAGGCGTTTGACTTTGACTGGGTTTGAAGTGATAGACCAATGACAGTCTCCTGAGCTGGCTTCCACTGAACCACAGATCACCATGTCTGACTTTTCAGCATAAATTTTGATAATTTCAACTTCAAGAACCCCTAAAATCATTTCCGTCCGGACTCCGGAGGAAAAGCCCACAAAAAAGACGACAACTCGATTCTACAGGCAGGGCGTTATTCACGCCTTAAAGCTAGGGCCCCGCTCTCACATACGGTTTTGACACAAAAGGTCTGTTTCTGGTACAGATTAAAAGGTCTGTTTCTGATGCCACTGCCGGCCGACCGGCATGCGTTAATGGATGCACGTGTTACACCTGTTAAATTCCCATAGGTGTCAACAGATGAATGATTATTGACAGGTTGCTAAAAAGACCAAAAACAAAGCCATGTATTCCAATCAAGCCTTCCATTGCCTATTTTCTAAAAAAATAAAAAAAAAAATCCAGCCTTGACCTTTTTCTTTTTTTATTACACAACGAAAGAAATCGTCCTTTATTTTTTCTTTTATTTTATTTGTATGTTATATTATATTATTTAAATTTAAAAATTTTTATTTCTAATAAAAAGATATTATTACGATTTATTTAAATCATTAACAAATCAAATATTAACTTAAGCAAGATAAATTCACTAAAGTTAGCATTTACTAATGTTTAGTACTCGTTTATTTAATTTTTTGTTTATGAGAGTTCCCTATCTTGTGTCTTAAGATAAGGTGTATTTGTTACTTTACCTGATTTAAGGTACAAGTTTTTGACTTTTTTGTAAAAGTATTTTTAGGTTTTTTCATAATATATAAATAATAATTAAACTTGTTTATTAAATAAAATTATTC